TATATATTTGGATTTCCATATTTCTTGACCCATTTTCACTCAGAATGAAACCATAATAATCAAAGGCTTAGTAAAGAAAGTGAAGTAATACTGGCTTACATTTATTAAGATTTATTAAACGATGTTTGCTAACAATTTATAGGAATGCATCAATTAATATTCATTCTGACAATAGCTGAGTGCAAAAGCCTCAAAAGGGGTATTTTATTGTATTTAAGGAAAAACAACTCTCCCTTCATTTCCTATTTCCCTCTAACGATTTTAAGGACTTTAAATCCAAAGGGCTATAGCACTGGATTCCAAGTAGGAGTTGGGCAGGTGGACAGAGGACATAGCTCTGGCTATGGGTTTTATGCAGCAGGTAGGTGATGGCAGCCATAATGACTGCAGAAGAGCAGAGGGGCAGGGCACACCCTATACCCTTCTGTTCACTTCCTCTTGCTCCTCTCACTTCTCCAGCTGCCCCTGGGCTGACAGTTCCTCTGGCCTTGGCTAGTAGCTCTAACAGTGACAAGGACAACTGGAAGTGGCCTCTCATATGGTTTTAATGTGGTCACACAATGTTCAAATCACATAGCCTACTACTTTACAGGATGTGTGGATGTGAAGTGACATATACTTGTACATGGATTGGTATAAATACCCTATGAGGTAATTATTGTGTATATATAGCGATATTGAACATTAGGTTATGCAAGGTGCTATCCTGTTTCTAATGAGGAACTGAGTTAGGCTTTGAATCTTGAGAGTTGGAGTTAATAAATTACATTGTATTCCATTGAAAGCAAAGATTCTATAATTGATAAATGTAAATTAATAAAAAGATAAAGTCACAGCATATTTGAAATTATCATCACTAACAAGGTAGCCTATGACTTCTTAGAAATCATCCTTGTTTTTAAATGATTTATTCAAATAATAGCACCTGTCATTAGGGATAGACAACACATGGAAGAGTTTCCAAGTCATTTCCCTGGTCATCTTTGCTCTATTACATTTGCTCTAGAACCACTAAATGGGCAGGGAACAGCACACTGCCAAAGAGCACTGAACTCATTACCTCTGATGTAACTGTGAATCCCTCTCGGACCTTTATCTGCTAAATCTTAGAATGTAATATAGTGGAACCTCAATTTGAACCACTGCAAAGGATATAAAAGTGTTCCTTCAAAAGTTTGTGAAGAATATAATTTCAACATATCTTCACGTCAGAAAAAAAGATATCTCCTGAGTATGACTTCTAAGGATTAGGGTCCTCTCTCTTTTGACCTTCCAGATTTCCCATACAACTTAATAGCCCCAGGCTGGCGAACAATCACATAGAATGTGTGAACCATTTCCCCAAACCTTTAACAAAGCAGAGATCACAGGAGATCTTCTGTGTGGACAAGTGACAATTGGACGGTAGGTTGGGGAACAGAAATAATAATTTCTAAAATAGCTGTGAAGGCAATCCACTGTATTTCAAGTGCTCATTTTACAAGTGAGGAAACTGAGGCACAGAGAGGCTACGTGGCAGATTCAGACAATGCCCAAGGGAATGCAATTGCTTAATGATTGGGCAATATTGGGTCCATCTTTGTCTAGTTGCATAAAATCACTGCACTATTTGAACCAATTTTACTTCTGAGTCCAGTGATTTTTCCTTCCATGTCACCGGCTAGAATATCTAAGGGCGATGGGAATTATTTTCTTTAATAATTATGTTTAGGTAACTAATAGAATATTTGAAGATGCAAATTCCACTTGATTTCTAAAACAGCCTGGGATGGTTCCCAATATTTGGTAGATCACACTTCGACCAGATTCTTTAACAGTCTTGTCCCTTAAAATGTACAGTTCTGTGTCTAAACAGAGGTGGTGTTAACCAGCTACACAAACTCTTTACTCTCTCACTAAAGGGGAGCATGTTTTTAACATTAGTTCCTATCAGTATTTACTAAAATGTGACAGAAAATTTGGGAACCACAGAAGAAGAAAGGAGTATCTGGAGGCAAAACATCTGACGCTATTAAACAGTGGCAATCTAAGGACTGGCCAGTTTTGTTTGGCAAAAACAGAGACTTCAACACATGTCCCAATTTGCTGGTGAGATTAAAATGAGGCTATGTCTACATGACACAAAGACATCCAGACTATTCAACTAAACATATCAGCCAATTTGGTGGGAGAGAAAACAAGAACAAATGAAAAACTAATCAGGTTAGTTGTTTGTCATCACAGAGGTAGAAAACAAAAGAGAAAACGGCTTAATTAGCCATATTCTTCACTTTTATGCACATCATTTTGATCAATTATAGCTATAGTTTGAGATGAATATTCACAAGTCAGGTTTGATCACCCTCCTAATAAACAAAGGGGTCGAATGGACTGGCAAGGTCAACCCATTATCTTCTGATTTAAGGTTACTTCTATCTATCATATCCTCTGCTTTGTGGCTAAGAAAAGTTTTAAGGGTAGCATCAACATGGTTTTAATTGGGGTGTCTGGATTTAAAAAAGTGAAAGGAGGAAGGGAAACACCCAATCAGTTAATCTAGGGGAACAAAATGTGATTAATCTGAAAGTTCTATGAAATTATTATTTTTTTTTAAATTGAGAAAGCCATTATATACTGTGCTGCTTCAATCACTGCAGGCTACTTTTTAATTTTTTTTTTTCAACTGCCCACTGTTTTCAACAGGCGCCAATTAAGATTCTGAGGTCAAAGGGTTAATTACATCTTCTTACCCACTATGTAGAATTTTCTGATTATTAACTAAGGTTGGATTAAGATGAAAAGGAACCTACACAAATGTTAATGCTAGTCCCTCCTTGAGAAGATTTATTATAAAGCCATGCTGAAATCTATCTGCGTTCCTCAAAGCAGATGGAGAGCAAAATCTTAGAAGAAACAGTAAAACAGACGTTTTAAAGGCATGCAAGTATCTGATTTATCAAGACAGTTTTCTTATTACTGAAAACAGTTCTAAGCCATGCAGACAGGGCTGATAGGAGATTTCCTTTGTCACATCCCAGTAAGTCTATGAGGTACACATGCAAGGCGTGAGACTCGGATAAAGAAGTCAGAAGCTACAGCATCTCTGAATAATAATGCCTGTAATTATAATTTATATCCCCTGACATCAGTGTAACATATAAAGTGTAAGGCACAGTTTCTTAACCCCAAAAGCTGAGTGCCTCTAACAGTATTTGTCAAATGATGAGGTTATTTCCTTGCAGGGTATGAAACTAACTATAGCATCATGATGGAAGGTATACTAATGTTTAATGCATTGTGCTAAATGGATTTATATTTGTCAAAGGAGTTTTGTCTCTGCCTCTTTTTCCTCCCTGCACATTCTTCTGCTGACAAATTTCACAGAGTAAAATCTTATTATGGTGTCCTGATAGGGACAATTCTCGTGTATTTAACTAGTCTGAAATTAGCGTTTCTTTCTTCTACACTTTGAAGCAGAGAGGGAGGAAATCACTCAAACTCTTCTTCTGTGACCTAACTTCCAGTTAGAGTGAAGAATTACCAGTAGGCTAGGTTATTTTAATGACAGATTATTTTAAACTAAGCCTTCACCATCTGTTCCACCCCCTAATTATGAATGCAAAAAGAACATATTTCACAATTACATCAGTAAAAAAGTAAGATATACGTGATTTAAATGCATGCATGTGTTCCTTGTCCAATGCACGAAGCATCTGTGATGTACTTCTAATTCAAGCTCAGCTT